CAACTGATTCGTTTTTACAATCCACATCAGTCATGAAACTGGACCAAAACCAATGTTCTTTCCTTACGATAACCATTTCTCTGAATATTCTTTGTTTCCGGCAAGAGGAAGAAGGTGAATATGACCGTGCTCCACTGGGCTTGACGTCTTTTAATCGGGAAAAGGAAATTTCACCTACTAACGCCAATTAAAACATAATTCCATTGTTACTGCACTCTTTATTTTATTCCAAAAAAAGAAAAAAAACAATTACTAGTAAAAAAGCTCACTTTTTAATGTTCAAGAAACCCACTAATCCCTCGAATGACCAAGCATATCCCCGATTCCCACCAATCACGTACTCACAAGATTATACTCTAAAAACCCTAATCATCTCAATCCCAACATGCATCACATTGGATCTGTAATGTTAAAAGCGCGATGTTGTAACAAATTATGATATGCATCACATGGATAACAATCATAGAAGTTCAAATGCTTGTATTCCTCATATACGCTAAAATGAAAATTTAAAACAATGTGTCACAGACATGCTATATGACTTTCATGAGATTTTTCACTAATTTGATTTACACTTATGGGGTCAAATCATCAAATTAGTAATTTGAAATTTAATAACATGAATGGTGAAAAAAAACACTTGTTTAATATTATTGCACAAAGTTTAAAAACAAAATAAAATATGAACAGTTTCGTCTTAAGATTTGAAAAAATAATTCTAAATTGTTTGCCGGTTGCAATTGTTTTGATTCATTGAGGTTTAAATGTAGCTAATTTCTAGGATTTATAATCAATATGATAGTGGTTTATTGGCTGTTTTTATTTAGGATTATGCTAGATGTATACAATCATTTACACATTGGATTATACCTCCCTCACATGGAGGGGGGTCCACACACAATAAAATATTCGTGGGCCCCCCCTCAATGTGAGGGGGGTGTAACCCCTTGTGTAAACCACCAGATGTACATCTAGCATAATCCTTTTATTTATGTTCAATTACGTAAATTAAAATAGATTAATCATGGAATATCAACAATTTTAGCAATTTTATTTTGGTAAAATATTTATCAATTCGGGCTATCATTAATTATGGACGTGTTAACCGCTAATGAAGTGTTTCTGTGACAAAAATTAGAGAGATTGTGAAAGTACGTAATTTTGGTTTAAAACAATGCTATGTGTACCGTCATTATAGGGGGGTAAATTTACACCCCTCACACATTAGGGTGGGACCCATTCACTAATGACGGTACAAATGGGTTTTCCCTTTGGTTTATTTTTGTATAATATCTAATATTTATAGTATATAAATTATCATATAGTATTTCATGAATTTATTATTTTTTCCTTGGTTATATGTGAATTTTTCCTGAAATTCTTTCTACCAGTCCATTTCATTAGTAAGTGGGCCATTAAGTACTGAATTGCATATTTCAGAGTCAAGGGGAATATTTACAGGAACTATATAGTGATGGGACTTAAGTTGCAAGAAAACAAATACCTCTGCGATTAAATTGTAGCGAGCAGAAGGTTCAGCAGCAGATTTTCAACAATCAGAAAGTTTAGAGACTGAGTTGATTGATCCAGGAAGTTCAAGGATCAAATTGTCTCAATCAAAGTGCTCAGGGACTGATTTGCACCAAACGGAAATTTAAGGACTGATTTTTAAACTCGAGAATCATTAGGGAACCATTTGAAAAAACAGATATTTCAGGGATCACTTTAGAGAAACTTTAAAATTCAATGACCGGTTTTGAAATATGAATCTGTTTGGCAATTTGGATGAGGTTTTCATTAAGCAGAACCTTATTAATCATTTCAAGAGCCCCCGGATCAAAGTGGGACCCAATCTTTCATATGCAGTAGTGTGGACCTAGTGATCAGTTTACTAGGGGAAAAAATCGGTTTAGATGGATACATCATCATATCACTAAATCCAGAATGTGGAACCATCCAGAGCAATATGGACCGCAAGGATTTTGACATTTGCATAGTTCAGACAAAAGCTAATCATCACAGGGACGAATTCTTGATAAAATATTTAGCTAAATTTTCCTCTGCACAGAGGTTCCATTCAATCAGCTCACGAATTTGCACAATGAACACACAGAAAATAAAGGCAGTAATATAAAGGAACACTCTGATTTACGGGTAAAACTCAACCCATTTATGACTCCACAATAACACAAGAAAAGGGAAGGAATACTGGAAGAACACAACACACACTGTGCCTCATAAGTTTAGCCTTCTCAATATATAGACCAAAAATTCGTATGCAGTTAATACCCTTAGCTGCAAAAGAGATAAACCAACCAAGTTGGATTAGAACTGTCAGAAATTGCTTCCCATAACCATTCACAGAAATTGTCCATAGGAAATTTCCTCCTATATGGACCACGAAAACTGCCCAGTACATGTGTCAAACATGTGCCCAATTTGGACACTCGAATTTGTGGACTAAAGCCCACTAACAGCAAGCTGGATCCGCCCATGCCTTGTCAATATGCAATACTTTGACACATGCCAAATTGAAGCATCATTCCCCCAAATTGATATCTACATTTACCTTGCTCCGAAATCCGAAGTGTACACCATCAGCACACCTATCCGCAAAATCCAGGCATGAGTGCAAGGCCTGCTCATGCCATTGTGCATGTCAACCTTTAAGGGGCTAACACGAATCCATATCTGCGTCAATCAAACACTGAGGCAGCACGTAACGTACAACAATTATAACTTATGAGTTCTTCCATCTACAACAAGAGATCGGGGCAGAGGGTTTTGCTGATTGATCATGACAATATAGGGGATCCAGTGAGTTGAGATAGTAACTTTGAATAATCGCCCTCGAGAAGAGATTTCGAATTTAGTGATGAGTCAGTTTGACATGTCAAGTCGTGAAGGTCAACTTTGGTGATAGTAGTCCTCCAAGTCTATATATATGTTTATATATATTTCATTTTTAATCGATGTATGATTTACCCCCAATAAATTCTACCTTGTTTGCATCATCAATCAAATATTAAGAAAAAGTTTCAATTTTTTTGCATAAATCTCAGGTTGTGATCCATTCGACGAAGTTGGTTTTAACAATGTGACATAAACTCTAAAACATTAAATAAGAGAAAAATTAAAACTTTGTTCGATATACCATGCTAGATATGATTAGAGCGTATAATATGTGATGAAGGCAAAATAATAATTCCATTTAATTTCGGGTTTGTTCGTTTTTAGCGCATTACTAGTCTCATTTGATTGGAAACGGGCCAATGATCACAACTCAGGGCCTTTGGCCCTGATGCACGTCAAATTTTGGGCAAATCAGGTTGTGATCCATTCGACGAAGTTGGTTTTAACAATGTGACATAAACTCTAAAACATTAAATAAGAGAAAAATTAAAACTTTGTTCGATATACCATGCTAGATATGATTAGAGCGTATAATATGAGTATCTATATACTCAGAAGATCCAATTTAATGAGTAAATCACGTTTTTTTTTAATCTAGTTTTTAAAATTATAAATCCTTCTAAAGCATGACTTTTTAGCTTTATCTATAAGAAACCTTTAAAGCAAACAAGAATCCCATCACTGGTCATGGACAAGAACTGATTCTGGAGAATATGGTATAGATTTGAGAAAAATTAATCAGCACTTTAAGTAAGTGAAAAAGAGAAGAACAAGTCTCAATACATGTACCTACCACTTATCCAATTCTATCCAAAAATATTATATTACAAGGAAGCAAAGGTCCATATTCTCGTTTGAATCTCAATCAACTCAAATTGTTCGAGTTTAGTGGGTTCTAACACTATATTAAGACTTGAGTTCCATTTTAAAAGATCAATCTCGTTAAGAAGAGTAGTTTAAACTCTTATATGTTAATCTATATCAGTAATTAATTAACGTGGAATTTATCCTCTAACAAATATAACAAATTCCAAATCAAATTGAATAAAAGTGAGGTGAGTCATGTGATACATCTTATTGCATGTTTCAGAAACCGTGAACGAAATGACTGGTTTGGTATCCAACGTTGATAGAGGCTGAAAAAGGTGATCCAAAAATTGATGCTTCATTTGCAAGAATGTGACCAAATTGATTTTCTTCTCACTTGAAAGTCACAGAACGTGATGAACAATGTTCTGTCACCTACTCATTTAGTTTCATTATTACCAGACAGGAAAAAAAAAAGGGTTGATTCGCAAATGAAAACATGTGAATTCGATTCCCACTTATAATAAAAGAGGTTGAGTATTGGAGTCTCTTTATTTGGCATTCTACTTTTTTCTTTCACCTTATCCATTTCCTTTTACTTTTTATCCACTAAATGAAGCCCTTCTATCCAGTTCATTGAGGGCAAGTTTGATAAGAGGTGCATACATTTGTTGATATGTCCTCCACATATGTTGGAGTGCAACGTAACTTCTTTGATATTTTGAGTTTAAATCGATGTATAAGTTTTTCGACAGAGAGAGAGTTGGAGAGGAAAAGAGCTAGGTCTCACCCGAGCAGTCGAAGCTTTGTTGCCTTGGCCACCACTACTTTAGGCATCTTTTAGATCTCTCTATATTATCTAATTCAACCGGTTAAAATAATAATAGATATGATCACATCATGATCATGTATTCCAGAATTAAATAAAACGAAATTGATCTCGAATTCTCGTTGGTTACAAATAGTATTATATTATGAAAATAATTTGTGCTTCATAAAATATAAAACAGTTAAATTAAATCTTAACGTTATTTCAAAATGAAATCAATATTTAAATTATATTAGTACTAAGTTATTTGTCTAATTGATATCAGGATTCATTTTAAATCTTTTATATACAGAGGTCTTGGATTCGAATCATGGGGGACATAACAGAAAGCCATGAAAGATAAAATTTCCTCTTAAAACTGACAGTATATAAGAGAACGATTGGACAAGAGGCTCATGTCTTGTTTAGTTCATTATTGATTTTATACTATGTGCTAAAAGACATGCCTAGAAGTTATAATTTATATGCTCAACTCAAATGAAATATATTGAATATGTCGCAAGGGTGTTGCTTTTTTTTTTTTTTATAACCGTGGATGTTCGTATCAACTTGTGCACACCTCGACTAATTCCACGGGGCTCTGAAATTTACGGTCGAACACTCACCTCATTAGCTTTGAGGGGATTCGAACTGATGACCATTGGGAAACAAATTCAAGGCCTGACCAATTGAGCAACCCCTCAAAGTTGCAAGGGTGTTGCTTTGAAATTGACAAGTTCGTCAAAACTCAACAACTAACTGATAAGAAAACCATTTGAAAATTTTTACGGTTTATTTTATTTTTAAATTTTATTGCGCTAGAAACAAGTTATTGCTTTACTCCCACCAAAAATTCGAGCTTTTTTGTTAGTGTCCAAAGCATCAATTTTGTTCTCTCTTACAGTTCTAAAGCTTTCTTTTGTCTTTATCTTTCCATAGAAATTCATTCAAGAATGGTAAATTACATCTAGAGTCCTCGATATTTGAGGTCATCCACGATTTATTTTATTTTTAAATAAGCGGATAGTCAAGATTAACTTTTCGTAGCAAAGTCCTTTCGGATAGTGTAAATTCATAATAAGCAAAATCCATTTATATTTACTTCTCGCAAACTTGAACACGATAACAAAGTTATTGTCACATTTTACTATGTTACAAACAATTTCAATTCAAAATAACTACTAAATTTGAAAATCGAGAAATTATTTAGTCTAATACAAATTATTTTATTGCAATGAAGTATTGAGTAGTTAATCAAAGCATCATGAAATAGAATAGTGATGCTGCAAACCAAAATAAAAGACTCTTGACAAAATTACCAAAGTAAGAAATACAAAAGATGAGGATGCTAAGCCCCCCTTTTACCACTCCTAATTCATTCAGCAGCAAATATCAAGAGTTTTCACTCATACTTTCTTGTAAGCATCTCCTCCCTTCTTCTCCATTTCGAGTGATCCATTAGTACAATCGACTTCAGTCATGAACCTAGACCAAAACCAATGTTCTTTCCACACAATAGCCATTTCTTCAATTGGTATATTCTTAGTCTCGGGCAAGAAGAAGAAGATGAAGATCGTCATAACTACAACGCATAATGCAAAGAAAAGGAATAAACCGAACTTCAAATGACAAAGCATTGCCAAGAAAATTTGAGCAATCGCAAATGTGAATACCATGTTAACCGAAACATTGACACTTTGTGCAGCCGATCGGATTTCGAGTGGGAAAATTTCACTAGGCACCAACCAGCCTAAAGGACCCCATGACCAAGCAAAACCAGCAACATATATGCATATCAGAAGCACCACCACAATAGCATACCACTTAGGTAACTCGCCTGGATTTCCATCCACGCCGAATTTTAGAGCTATACATATTGCAATGGCAATTTGACAGATGAGCATTTGTGCACCACCCTCAAGGAAAAGGAACCTTCTTCCCCACTTATCAACTCCATAGATCGAAACCATAGTTGCAATGGCGTTGACACAACCGGTAATCACGGCAGACATAAGTGAAGCATCACTTCCAAATCCAATAGTTTTGAACAAGACAGGTGCATAAAACATGATCACGTTGATCCCAGTAAGTTGTTGAAAGAAAGGAATAAGAATGGCCATTGCGAGATGTGGCCTATACTTTCTCTGAAGTAAATTTCTCCATGGATGCTCCACTATCCTCGATGCCTCACTAGCTGCAACTAAATCATTAAACTCCTCGTCAACATTGGAAACACCCCGGATTCTTTTCAATTTCGCTTTCGCTTCATCCTCCCTTCCACGCTCGATCATGGAGTTTGGTGTCTCAGGAAGGACTAAAGACCCGACGGTGATGATAAGGGCAGGAACCATAGCACCACCCAAGCTCAATCTCCATCCCCATCCACCAGGAATTTTAGCAAAAAAGTAATTCAACACATTGGCTACAAGAATTCCAATTGTGATGGACAGCTGAAAACCAATGTTGAGTGCACCTCTGTACTTGTAGGGAGCCATTTCAGATAGATATAATGGCACAGACTGCAGTCATATACAACAAGTTAATTATCATCAAATGTCTCTAACATAAATCATGAATAAAATTTTAATAAATAAGAAAAGACATATAGGAAATATGTTGCTTCCGAGGGACACACTTGTTTTATTTATACTGCCTAATTCTAACCAGTAGTGTTCCAATGTACCTAGTACGAAGTACCAAACATGTCTTGCAGGGCCTGGAATAACACGTTTAAGCAATCTTATTAAGCACAATGAAATTTTAAATATAAATAATTGATCTTATAAAATGAAAATATGAAAATTATTCAGAGAATTTATTTCTATGAGAAGTATGTGATAGTCTGTTTTGAACATACTTCTGTACCTGTTCATTAAATTCCAGATCAGATCTGAGCTACCATAAAAAAGAATTAAATTCTTTTCTTCCCAAATCTATTAATCAAAGAAACATTTTTCACGAATTTTAAATTATGGCAATTTTACGTACTCTCAAACGTGCCAAAACAAAACACAGTAAATCCCATGTTCTTATCATATTCATGGAAAGAAAATTTACCTGATTGGCAAATCCAATACCAAAACCAAGGAGAATGCGGCCAACGATCAGCATCCAAACGGCTTGTGCAAAGCCATTGATCAATGCTCCTGCGCAGAAAAGAACACCTCCAAAAAGCATAGACAATTTTCTTCCCAGTTTTCTGGTGACAGTTGAGGCCACGATAGATGACAAAAGTGCAGCGAGATACAATGATGATGTAAACATAGTAAGAGTCTGACTGTCAAATTTGCAGTACTGATTTGTTGAATCATCAGCCTTTTGCTTTCTGTAAACAGATGGAAAGAACTTTTTCAAGAACGAATCCATAGATGTCACACCACCTGTATACATATTCGACATGGTATTAGAGCATACAAAGATATCGGGATTAAGTTTTCATAAAAAACACGAGTTCAACATCCACACGAAGAATTTAAAATAAATAAATGTATCTCATCTTTGAAAAAGTTATACCTGAGATCCCGATATCGTATCCGAAAATGAGGCCACCCATGGCAGCAACAATGCAAGTAATAGTAACATAAAGAGTAAGGTTTCCTGGATATTCCTTTCCATTTCCAGGGCCAGGTCCAAAGCCACCACCAGCCATTCTTTTGCTTCTCCTATCTGTATGATCTTTCTAACTATATATAAAAAGAGAAGTAAAAATTAAAATGAAAATTTGAAGTTGAAACGGAAGAATAGATGGACGCTGAAGGACGAGGAGGAAGATGAATGTATCTATGTGGGGATGGCAAGCGTATTTATAGAGAGAAAGTATTTCTTGAATTGAAGAGTATTGCTGAAGAGTTTACCTGTCAAGAAATTATCCATTAATAACTTTTCAATCGATATTCACAATAACTTTTTGAAACTTATTGGTCAAAATTCATTTTTTTATTTTCCAAAAGAATTTAAAGTCAACATTTAGGTTTGTGTGAAATACATTAAATGATCAATTTATTCATAAAATCAATATTCTTCATAATTACCGAGTTTGGATATTAATTTAAATAAACAACTAAGATTTATTATTAAAAATTTTGAGGATGGCTATATATCACAACTTTATGTGTAACCTTAAATGAAAGGATAAGATGATATATGACAATTAATATCACCTAATTGACAATTAATATCTTGGTTTAGGGATTTTAAGGAAAAAAGTGAAAATTAAGAAATAAATGTATTGATTTGTGTTTCTTCTTCGTAATGCCTCGAAGTTTTATGGAGAGTGGAAAAGGCCATACGCGTTGGACAAGACGAGTGTCTTTGTTGATCGATTTTGAAGTTATATCTCCTCTAAACTTTGAATCAGAGACACGTTCACCCATGTCTCATATTTGTGGAACTTGTGTTATGCAAGACTTATTTTAATATAGCCTAATGAGTCCGCGTCATCCCCTTTTCCGAGTTTGTGATGTTGAACTAAACCTCTTGCTATCTAGGTCAACTTATTACATTGACACTTGTTGGATAACAGTTCTCGCCTCGATCTTAGGTATCTATTCTCCAAGCGACTTCTTGATCTGTTAATCCTAACTTGATGAGTTCATAGCTACGTGAATTGTGGCATCGTAAAAATTTTCAATAGAAGCAATTTTGAAGACATTTTTGATACACTCATTTAAAAACAAACGTTTATAATATATGTTTCTTCTTTAATAAACACAAATGGATAGCGCTGAGTCAGCATATTAAATATCCACCGAATACTTATTTATAACATATTAACCGCTATTGGATAATGTTGCAATTATGGTACGTAATTATATAAAGTTTGATTCGAAACGTCTTCAAATAAAAGTCAATGAAGGCGCAAATTAGGAACTATGAATTGTTTGCCTAAATAAATATTTTTTTTTTTACTTTCTAAACTGGTGGATTAATTAATGTAAATAATTATAACTACTTATGAAAGGATAATATTTTAGTTTTGAACAAATTCATCTTTCAATTTTGATTATAAGTTTTAATGATAGAGGAAATTACACGAATTTAGACATTTAGAGATTACATTTCATAAATCAGAGGTCTAGTTTACTATTTCAAATCTCAAAAGTTTTGCTAAACAATTTCAAACCCTAAATTATTTATATCTCACTCAATTCATCCCCACTGCCATTTTCAAAACATAAACATCTCTCTCTTCTTCCCCTCCTCCTCCTCCTCCTCCTCCTCCTCTCTCTCTCTCTCTCTAGCCACTCTCTCTCTTCTCCCATCCTCTCTCTCACGTCTCCCTCTTTCTGTAAGTTATGTCGTCGTTGTCGAAGACCGCAACGGAGAATCGAACCGAACCATGGGAGATGCACAGAAAGAGGGAGCGAAGAGCACCGCTTCATCTCCCTCACACATGGCAGTCGCTAACGGCTTCCATTCTTCTTCTTCTTCCTCTTTTTTTTTTAATTTTTGATGCGGTGCTGTGTAGTGGCAGTTCAATGGAGCTATGTGCAGTGGTGAGTGCGATTGTGGTTGGGCGTGGTGTTGTGCGCGGTGGTTAGTTTGAGTGCGGTCGTGGTACGTGGTGTGGTTGGGTGTGGGTTGTTTAGTGGCGTAGGTTGCTTGGTGCAGGTAGTTGTTGGGGGTTACAAAATAGTGGTGTTGTGTTTGTGGCGTAGTGGTGGTGCGTCAGTTGATGGTGGTGGGGGTGGCGACAGTGATTGTGACGGTCACAACTTATCAAATTCAAGACGATGATTTTGTTGTCAAGATGTGATTTTGGTGGTTCTGATAACTGTGGTTTGGGTTGTTGCAACGATGTGGTGGTGGTCACAAATGATTTGGTTGATTGTAACCAATAAATTGATTAGTGTGTGACCAATAAATAATATGTTACCAATGAAACATATAAATTGTGATCAATATATACTGTGTGACTTAAAAACTTATTAATTTGTGGCCAATAATTTGATAAATTGTGACCTAAATATAATTTGTGATAAATTAATTTGATATTTTGTGACCGTAAAAAAAATTTGTGACTTGTGACCAATAAATAATATGTGATTATTAATTTGATAGATTTGTGACCGATGAATAAATTGGGACATAAAAATTTTTGATTTATGACCAACATAGGGATGGCAAAAAAACCCGACAAACCCGATACCATCGGGGACCCGCCCCGAATGTGGAGAGGAAAACCCGCTTAAACTGGTAATGGGGCAAGGAATTATTCCCCGAGGCGGGGACGGATAACGGGGTCCCCGCCCCGCCCCGCCCCGTTAAAAAAAAAAAATTTTTTTTTTTTTAAGAATTCAANGGGACGGGGAATGAATTTCTTAACGGGGCGGGGGACGGGGAGGGCATCCCCGCCCCGCCCCGCCCCGTTGCCATCCCTAGACCAACAAACGAATTGTGACCTATAAAAGTTTTGAAATATGACCGTAAAATAATTTGTGACATGAAAATTGTGATTTGTGATAGATTAATAATATGTGACTAATTATATGAAATTGTGACCTTAACATATTTAATTAATAAAATATATGTATAATTAATTAATTTATAAATAAAATTTAAAAAACTCTGAAATTTAAAATTTTAAACATAATATCTTAAATTTGAAATTGGTAAAACTAAACCTCTTAGTTATGAAATCTTCCTTAATGATATTAATAAACTAAGCCCATTTTTAATAAAATAAAATAACATTGATATTAATAATTAAGCAAAAATAGACTTTAATCACTTTCTTATAATAAATGTGCAAATTAAATTATCTATTTTTTCGAAATACATAATCAAAATATTGAAGCACAGTACCATGATGATCTACGAAAGCATGTCATGTAATTCTAATATAATTAGATTTTGAATTATACTAAGTTAGTTTTAGTCAATAATTAAACGGAATTGTTGTCGCTAAAAAATTGAAAAAAGTAAATACACAGACAGAGAAGTCCATATATAACAAAATATTAATTTAAGATTAACCATAAAGTTTTTTGTCAACAATTAAATTAATAGTTAAAAATATTAGTTTAAACTAAGGTCCTATTTTCTTACAGAATCCCTGATTTGTGTAATAGGGTGTTTATTGTTTTTCATGTGACAATAAGTTTTTGAAGAGAAATTAACAGTATTAAAGAGAAAAACCTTAAAATCTTGGTCATTTTCATGTCCAATTCTATTCAATTTTATCTTAAAAAAAAAAAGAAGCACAGGCTAAAATTAAAGAATAAGAAAACTAGAATATTGTCCATTATTACACTAGTGTGTCTTGTCTTGTCTAATAATGTATATGAACCATCATAATTCAATGTTACAAATGCAATGTAATCATATTGAAGTCACAAATGCAAGAGACGGATTCTGCCTTCAACTCCATTCCTTTTCCTTCTAATTTCTTGCTCCCTACTACAAGTAAGAAGTTACTTATTCTGCAGCACATACATATATTGGTTCGGTTAGGCGAAAGTCTACCCAATGTTTTGCACATCAATAATAATATAAACCATGCACCAAATTTTTACCAACACCAAAACATTGATGGCCTTCCCACTCGCACCGCTTCACAAAACTATACAAACATATCTCTAACAGCTATTAACTTCGTTTATGCAATTTACCATGGTATCAAAATAAGCAAAAGTTTCGAACCCTTATCAAAATATTGTCAAAGAGAGCATTTTATTATAAGTCCTAATACTTTAACTTAGAGCCTTTTTTCTGCATACATTAACATTACCTGAAATGAAAAAAACTATTAGATTTACAAAATAAGAACAGGTAAAAATGGAAAATCAGGTTTAAGAATGCCAGAAGCCACTCAAAATGCTACGAAATCTATTGGATGATAACTTCCTGACAATCTTTTTTGCATCTGAAACTTCTGCATCTGCAAGCTTTTCAACGTTCTTTAAATACCCAGAATTTAAAATCTTTTTTCTTGCACTGTTGCTACTTGTCAATGACATCAGTATGGAAAGCAATAGCCTTTTGTTATTACTTGAGTTTGCCTCCCCTGCACCTTCAGGATCAAGCTTTTGCAGAATTAAGCCCACATTCAGATCATTCTGCACAAAACTCTTACGATTTCTTGGTATTATAACCATGCTATATAGTATTTCGGCTGCCATTTCTCGAATCTCGAATGATTTCGAGTCGAGAAATTTAATCACCACTGGCATGAACCCGGCGTCGCCCATTAACTTTTTCGTCTCCTCGGACGTGCCACATAGCCAAAATGCTGCCTTTAACGCCAGTTCTTGAACTGAAGCCTCCCCGAAACGAAGAAAATAAAGTATATGATCCATGAAGCTGGAAGCAATCAAAATATGGAGAGAATTCTCTGATGAACAGCATATATTCATGATTCCTCGTAATGACGCCTCTCTTATCTTCATTGAAAATGATGATTTAGGATCCAAAATGTGCACCATCGTGCTTATTCCACCTTCTTTAACAACCATTTCGCTAACTGATTCATCCTTATAAGCCATAGCTTGTAAAAGATCGAGTGAACATATTCGTGTAATCTCATCTTTAGACCTCACAAGGTCTAGAATCAATGGAATTGCTCCTTCCTCGACCATAAACCTCTTGATTTCTTCGACGCCAACAAAATTTTTCAGTACTCCACAAGCCAGGCCAACCAATTCACCACCATTATCTCGTTTCCCACATATTTTCAAAAGGGCAGTCACTCCACCGTGAGCCGAAACTGACCATGCATTGTTCGAATTCTCTGTGAACTTCATCAAACACCTAGCAGCGAATTTTTTGCTCGAACCACCCCCGGACTCCAAGACTCCAATCAATGGAGATATTATCCCTACGCTGATCAATACACCTTTACAGTATTCAAAACCCGAAATCATACACACTGCTTTCACGGCCTGTTCTTGAACCTCCCCCTCTTCGGAATCAAGAAAATGCACCAAGAAACTAATAAAACCATCAACTTCCACAGAAATCTTCACATATCTATCATCTTCTTCAGTAGCATCATTGAAGGCAACAAGGGCTTGTTTCTTCATGTCCCAACTGCCAATCCTGAGCCTTGACAACAAATCATTGATATAGAATCTTACATCTTCTCGAGAAGCTGAAAGACCAGGCTTTGGTACCACTAATGCATTTCTATGAGTGAGCAGCCCAAGAGTATATACATCAGAAAGTGTCTTTATATGATTATCCAATTTTGTGCATACTATATCAAGATCACTTTTCATCAGCAGCTTCCCAGTGTAGGATAAATCCACGCACCGCTGCGCAAGCTCATTGCAGTTCTTGAGTGTGGCCAGAATTGCCTCTACTGTATTTAAGATGGATTCATTATCGTGAAAATCAGAATTCTGATCAATGACGGTGAGGTTAGAGAGAATTTCTTCAAGCTTGTTTCTTATGGAATGCCATTTCACCGGAAAAACCTTAACTGAATGCGAGTGAGAAATCAATGGAGATATGAACTCAATAGCTTGCTGCAGCCTTGGTTTTCCAGCGGATGATTGCACTGACTTTTGGCCCTGTTCTTCACCCATGAGGTACTTTGGGACAACAACTAGGTGACGAGTTGAACATTATTTGTTCGGAATAAAACCCATATTCCGGGGAGATACAGGTTTCCGGCAATATGGTAGGAACTAGGAAGAATATTCCGGCGAAAAAGCTCAGAGTTTTTTATCGGAGAATAGATAAGAAACATTCATGATCTTATCAAGAGATCTATGTCCTCTTATCTTCAGCGTAGGTAACAAAATTACATTTTTAAAATTACAGAAGGGCCCTCGTTGTCATGTGATAGTTTTAGGTCAACGGAGTAGATGTTAAGGTTTAATTTGCCATTTCACTACAGAATGGTAGCTTGGTCAGTTGGGACGTTAGGACGTATTTGGAGAAATATAAGGACAACTACTTTGACAACGTAAGAATCCAAACGTGGTATCGGCTCTTTAGGTTCTAATCATGAAATAATTGTGCATAAATTATTTGCTTAAAAATAATATAAATTAAATTTACAATTGTTTAATTACTTGAAAATGTATTGGTTACTAATATACATTTTTTTCCGACTATCTTGTAATTGTTGAAGCTTTACAAATATATGCAAATCGTACTAAACTTATTTCAGATGTGGTAGAACAACGGCCCGAATTACCACACGAAATATGTGGAATTGCAATCTCCTTCTTATTATCTGGGATCGACCCAAAAGCCATAATGTCTCAAAACGAGGAGGCCATAGAGAAACTCAAGTCATGTAATTTTGAAACACTATTTTATTGTACTAGCTGGAAGGTTGACATTTATTATATCGAACCGCCCGACACCTATTGGATGTGGGCATTTTAACAGAAAATGAACTTTCGAAACGTAATCGTGAGTTCAGGTTCAATTCCCAAAAAATACATGTTAAGTGAATGATTACATTTGAAAAATACTTGAAGTTTTTGTATGATTCCAGTTCTTGAAATGTTCGGGCGGAACCATCCGAGCCCATTTCTAATAGTAGCATTGAAATTTAAGTATATTCATAACAGAACAAAGATTTCTCAAATAAGATAGTGATCATTTGGTATGAGATATATTTTGAATTTTTGACGTCATTCTTAAATTTTATTAGTTAGGCATTCGTGTGACGTGTTCATTCAATAACATAAGTGAAAATTAGCTAAGCAAGAGACAAGGGTGTAAAATTATAAGAACAAGAAAGACAAACTATGGTTGCTTAGTTAAAGTGGCCACTCCTTTCAAAGTTAGGTGAAATGGAAAAGTAAAAGGAAAAGTAGGGCTAGTCATCAATATCCCTTGGCATGTAAATGCCAAGACGTCCTCACCCCACCCACCATGTGAACCACCCCTAGGTTTTGTTGGATGCCTTAAGCTTTAGGGTAGACCTAAGGAGCGTGTTTGGCTTAGCTTAAAAGTGATTTCATTTTCGCAATATCAAGCGTGATATTATCAAGAACAGCTGCTTCTTTGTTAGAAAGGAGTGAAGGATTTTTTTTTAATGGTTTGAAAGCTTAAAAACATGTAGAAAATACTTATTTTTAAGTAATTTTATTTCACCGTGTTTAGACAATTAATTTTTTCTTATTTTTTTATAAAAAAAATTACTTGCAAAATAACATTTATTTTAACTTTAAATTAAGTAAAACAAAAGATTATTAAAGTTTTGTTTGGTCTATTACAAGACAAAATTGCTAATTATTCTCCTAGTCACGGATCGTTAAATGGTGGACTCAATTGTTCAAAATAATCTTTCAAAAAAAAGTGAAAATATTATTTTGTTTTATTATTTAGCCCTATTTAACAATCATCATTTCAAAATTCTTTAATTTTTATTCTCATTTTCAACCACACATTTACACAATAAAATATTTTACACGTAAATTTAAAATTTTTCCATATTTTTTAACTATATATTTTCTATAAAATCACTATTTTAAACTTTATTTTCTCAAAATAATGGCGGGGACTTACTATTATTGAGTAACTTTTACTGGATATATCTTGAACAGTCTCAATCATCCCTAACAAATGCTACCGCTTAATTTCACGTGTAATCATGTCAAAAAATCTAAGTGGGCGGTAGCCTTTACTTCTTTTTTACACATCTTTCCTATCCCTCTCTCTATTTATAAATTAAATCACTTATAAATACTTCCTAAATGGAGGCTAAAAATTGGGCCTTTTTGAAAAAATTGAGTTTTGAATAATGATTTTTGAATAACATGTAGTTAAAAAGTGTTTGCGTGTATTTTATTGTGTAAATATGTGGTTGAAAATGAACATGAGAATTAAAGATTCTAAAATAATAGTTCTCAAACGGGGGCTAAATGAGTCATATTATTTTGTATTTAAATGAATTTATCATTTAATTGTCAACTAAACTATTACATGTAGCATAAGTAAAATATATAGGGACTAAAGCACATAAAAATTGTCGTATAATTGTGCATTCTATCGCATGCCAAACACCCATTGAAAGGGACTACCTAGAGATGTCTCTTTTTATCTTATGCTTGTCCAAAATTATGTTGGGTAAAAAGGCCATTGTTTGAAATTGCAGCTTTGAGCAGGGGTGGTAAAAGGATCGAGTAGCTCGTCGGTTCGGCTCAAACCTCGACCCATGGGAGACTCGATCCCGAGTTCGGATTCTTCCATGAAAAAAATTGTCAATCAAACAGCACAAAAGTAGAAAAATAAATGGAAAAACATATTTTCCATGAAAAATATTAACAATCAAACGCATCCTAAAAGTATCTTCAGAGGCATTCTACGAATTGCTATCCCAATGACAATGAAAGTTTAAAAAATTCAAATTTTTATGACATTAACATCTAATGAATAGACACTCAAGTCTAATATTTATCTCTAATGTATCTATTGATTGCCATCTAGGTAAAACTTTATTTTCTTAAAATAAAAACAAACTCACAACTAAATCTGAAAAGAATATATTAATTTTGTTAAGAGACCCATTGCCTAATAGAAATACTGAAAATAGATATAACTATGGACATTTATGTTTTTTTTTTCCTTTTCTATCACATCATCTAGATCAGTTGCAATAGTGATGCAACAAAATTGAAATGCCATTTTGCAATAAATTGCAAAATCGAAAAAACTGGGTGCACGTTTAGCCCCTGATTGACAGCCATATTTTTCAAAAATAGAGTTTTGAATAGTGATTTTTAAAAGAAGGTGTAGTTAAAAATAAGGATAATTTTGAATTTATGTAAAAAAAATATTTTATTGTATAAATGTGTAGTTGAAAATGAATATATAGATAAAAGAATTTGAAAAATATAATTGTCAAACAGGGGCATAATGTACAATTTGGCATAGGACACAAAATATAGTGAACAATTCCCCTTGTTTAGGGGAATTGGTTCAAAGGCACCTGGCCTGTGAATTTCCAGATTTATCAGAATCTAGAATTACCGTCATCCATTATTTCCAGAGTGAATCTTGCCAACATACTTTGAACAATGAATCTTGAAAATGCCTTTGACAGAATCCACTGGTTCAGTCTAATTAGAATACAACAGGGAGGGAAAATTATAGCAATTTACCCGTTAAACAATCCAGTGGAAAGGTTCACAATTTCTTCTCATCATATCAAATCCACTGAATTTTCAGTTCATAAAGAAATTTGTGTGCTCAAAAAACTTGAAGATTATACATAAAATTTGGAATTCGAGTTCCAGGATACCTCACGTGTCAGTCAGACCTCACCTCGTTCGTGATTCAAACGATGCAAGGAGTAAACTTCTCGTGCATTTTATTGTAATATCTCAGCTCTTCAGGGATTGAAGTAAAAGAGAAGTCTCTGGTACCCAGCACCATTGTTTTTCTTCCATGCAATAATGGCGTTCAGTTGCACGATCAGATTCCGAACAAAACAGCTCGATGGGTTTTCCACTGCAAATGCTAACAATACAAATGATCAGAAAGCATGGCAGTAATGGGAGATTATTTAGGAATATAATTTAGCCACCAATTTGGTATTTTATTTTCCCGGGAAGGGGTTTGGGGGTGGAAGCACTTGGAATATGGTAAAGCAGCGCTCCTAAATTGGGGTCGAAAACTTTGCAGAAAAGGAGTGTGAGGATTTAGGAAAAAGAAAACCATTTATGCTACATAGATGATAGAACTTAGATATTTAATCTAGAAAGCTACAAATTTCAAAGAATCCGTAAGATTTCAAAGCTAGCTTACCAAGAAGTCCTTCCACGTGATCAAAGAGTGACAACGAAAGGTGGGGCATCCCTTCTTGGCCCTGCTACAGTGCGATATACATAAACTTTGTCCGCCTGACTTTCATCACTTCCTTCATCTCTCATCACCTCAACATTCAACCTCGGCATGTCCTTTGCAAGTAGCTTACATGCACTCATTGTTACATTGCAGGCTGACATCCACAATGATCGCATTGTTTCATACTTCTCTATCCCAGACAGTAATGCAGCATTTCCAAATGGACAATCTCTTATTTCAAGCTTCCTTAGCTTCGGACAACCTTGGAGAACACATTGCATCCCCCAATCACTGCTGCCAGCAAAAGCCACTGAAAGAGCCTCGAGGTTTTTGGCATAATTGCCAATGTACTCAAAAGTCAAATCGGTTAAAAGGCCTGAAAGCGCAAGCCTCTGGAGGTTAGTGCATGTCTTAACCACTGCACCAAAAGCCTCATCCATAGGTTCATTTGTCAGGTAATCTGGCTCGCCTGGATTCATTATGCAAAGGCGAAAGTGGGTGAAATCGGGGCAGTTCTGCACTATGGTGGCAACAGCAGCATTAGTCATCTGCCGGCAAAAGTAGAGGACATAATGAAGTTTGCGGCATCCATGAGAAACTGCCAGAAAACCAGCCTCAGTTACTCCATGGTGAAGATCCTGCTCGAAAGGATCAGCAGGGAAGACCCGAAGTTCTTCAAGCAATGGACAGCTGGATCCTACAGCCTCGAGACCCTTGTCTTCGACCGTATCAAGGACCTGCATGAAAGTATTAGACCATTAGTCAATTTTGATCCCAA